ATTGTCAAAGCATTTCATGTATTCATTGCTATCGGGATGTTAAGAGCATTCCATGGAATATAACAAAAAGTGTTTCTGAAGTGAATTACCTATCCTACCTTTTAAGTACTACAATCACTGTATATTTATGATCATCAGTAAGCTTGTCTTTCTTTTTTCTATTTCTTTGAAGCAATGTAGTATGTTTAAAGCACACTAAAGTTGTAACTGCCCTACCTCTCGTCTCAGTTCCCTGTAAGCCGAGACTGATCCAGGCAGTGATGGACTGCTTCATGCGGACGGCCACGGTGATGTGGTACCCGGCCGATGGAGCTCTGTCATACACGGTCATGGCCTCCACCGTGTCAGGCCACAAAGTGAACTGTGAGACCAACACCACCAGCTGTGTGCTGGAAGGGCTGCTGTGTGGCAACAGCTACTCTGTGTCTGTGACGGCTTTGGGATGGTCCTGCTCCAGCATCGCTCACATGCCAGGACAGCTGGTCACTGGTGAGCGACAGCACCTCACAAAGCTACATGCCTAAAGTCCATCCACTTTTAAATATTGTCAAACATAATAAACAAGGTATTCTCAGGTTCCTACAAAAAGTATGGAATTGTATTTTAGTTTCTCCAGGTCTGTACAGTATTCATAAGAGAAAAGAGTGTACAATATAAATGTATTCCAATATTTGATTTTACATGACACAGAATTGCAGCTAAAATAAAATGATATGCGTTGACCTCGTATGGGACGTTTTAATGTGCTACAGTACCTAGTGACAATCTTCTGGCAATTATTTGCCTGCATAATAGCATAGGCTACAGTTTATAGTCAGAATGTCACATACATGTCAGTTATATACATAAACACCCAGCTACAGTATGTGTACTAAGATATGACATATGGTCCTAAAAATATACAAAGAAGAATAGAAATGTAGGGACTTTGAAATGGAAAGTGTGTAGGTAGTAATTTTTACTCATGAACACCTTCTCTCTCCCAGAGCCGTGCATCCCTGAGCAGATCACCACTGAGTACAGCCTTGCCATCGGCCAGGTGCTGTGGGACATGACCGCTGGGGCTGATTACTACACAGTGGAAGGGGTGACAGATCAGGGCCAGATGGTCTCCTGCGTCACCAACGACACTTACTGTGCCTTGTACAACTTTGACTGTGGCCAGATGTACAATATAAACGTCACAGCAAACAATCAGGTCTGCCAAGGCACGTCAATCTCGACCGAACCCGCTTCAATAACAACGGGTAAGAAAACACGTTGATGAGTATTTGCATTTTCAAGGTTCTTAACGGAGTGAGATCTCTCTTTGATAGTCTGCACTGATAGTGTCAGTATGAGTGTTAGGATCTAGGACCTTAAAATTATCTTTAACAAATTCGTTTTTGACAGGAAGTTCAATTAACAACTGTTTTGCAGTCAATTTTCATGTAAACATGCCCAACTTTTTGTTATTCCAACTATTCAATTCTGATGGTTTGCTGCTTTTTTTACTTACTATCACTAGGTTTTGGGGTGTTTGTCAAACTAAACAAGACCTTCTGAGAGCTTAACTTTACTGAATTAACTGAATTCAATGAGGAATTAATCAGCAGCATAACCATGAAGGAAAGAAAAAGTAAATGTGTCACTTTTGGCACATTTTAATATCTTTTGATATTTCCAATTTTTATTTATTTATGTAGTACAGATGAAAAATTGTATCCGCATCCTTTAACTTGTTCTCTCTCCTTTTTTTTCCATCAGAGCCTTGCCCACCCCAAAACGTGCAGACCACTGTGCAGTGTCAGAGCGACCTGGGGGTCGTGTCGTGGGAATTCAGCTTTGGGGTGTTGGGTTACGAGGTCAGCCTGGCCGGACGCGACGGCCACTCTCTGTCCTGCTCCACCAACGAAACTTTCTGTACAGTGGAAGGCCTCCACTGTGGAGTCGTCTACTACACTAATGTCATCGCCATGGGAGAGACGATCAACAGTGACGAGTCCACTACTGTCCTGCTGGTCTCAGGTATGCTGCTGTCAAACACTGGCTTCATTATAGTAATATATTACACAATGGAATATACTATATTATATGGAGTACTCTTTGCCCTTGCTGACTGCTGTGAATCTGATCCAGTATTTCAAGTGAAAACATTAGAGGATAATAATTATACATCTGTTAAAAAAAATTCAAACAGTCTCTTAAATGTCTCTCAGGTAGAAAAGTAACAACATTTGGTTTGGAAACACTCACATGGCAATATTTTATATACAAAATAAAAACCTCTTCATGGCTCGAATCACCAACTGGGTAAAGATAAGAGGCCTGTGCTTGGTAACTGAGCACTATTTTCAAAATGAAATGTCTTCTGTTGATTCTCTGAAGACTAACACTGTAAAACAATATTTTGATGACTGTTTTTTTTCTCCTTGTACAAGTTTTTGAGATAATCCTGATTTAAAGACGAAAGTAATGTGCCAAGGAATGTACTTCAGAGCATGCAAATGTTGGAAACACGGAAATATAGCATCCAACAATACAAACAACAATAATAAACATTTAAATTGCATATGTTTTGCAGTAGTAAATGCATTAAATTCATCTTTGTATCCTTAAGAATGCACCGAATATAATATACATATAACTGTCCTTTGTTAGAGAGAGAAAACCTCCTCAGGGTTGATTCGTTTCTATGTTTATTGATAGTGGGCATTCCTAAATGACATACACGGCTTCCCAAAAGATTTGAAAATATGCAAAAAACGAAAATGGCAGTAAGCAGGCCCCAAACAAAATCCTTGCATTTATTATGAAGTAATTGGATGGTGTTAACATAAGCGCATCATTTGCAGTTGATGTAGGCCTACTAGATTTTGTGTGAAGATCAATGCAGTGTGATCAATGACATTGAACCCATATCCTGTTTGTCTTTCCGTCCCTTCTGTGTCCAGCTCCCTGTGCAGCTGAAAATGTCGAAGCTAATTTGGATTGCGACAACAACACAGCCGAAGTCTCCTGGAGCTCAGCCAACGGAGCAGACTCTTACACTGTGAACGCCGTAGAAGGTGAAGGCCGCGTAGCTTCATGTGAGACCGATGAGCTACAGTGTGTTCTAACTGATCTGCACTGTGGTCACACGTATAACATCAGCCTCACATCAAACAGCGACCACTGCCAGACTGAGACAACAAATATTGTCACCTTAATCACAAGTGAGTTGAGAAACATCTAATCTCTACGTAGCTGGAGTTGAGTGAATTGATCTCTGATATTAACTCGACATGTTGTGCAGGACCCTGTAAACCGCTGCATGTTGCAGTAGACCAGCAGTGTGGGAACAGCACGGCCAACATGTTCTGGGAGGAAGGCAAAGGAGTGGAGCTCTACCTGGCTAATGCCACCTGCAGCATGGGAATGACCATGCAGTGCAACTCCACCAACTCCACCTGCAGATTCTACAACTTGCACTGCGGAGACACATTCACATTCTCTGTGGCTGCGTACACTCACATGTGCTACAGTGACATCAGCAGCACTGTGGAGATCCAGACAGGTAGAGCTCATTATTCTCAAATAATTAAATAGTTAGGTTGTCCACAGATGGATTCAGGGATTGGGTTGGGAGACGAAGATTGTCCACCCTCATCACAGTTAGAAAAAGTGTCCTCTTAGTTGCTTTCCAAAAAGTTTCTCTCTACTCTATTTATTTTCTATTTATTTTTGCATACATGCAACAGTCCAAGAAAGAAAAATGGATTTAGGTGTCTAATTTCGGCAGTATTTAATTAAAACTGTCGAACCATTTTGTCTCCTACATTTCTGTCCGTCACCCACTTTTATAAAGACACCCAGACAATTCATCTTAGGTTTTTGTAATTGATAAAGAAAATGTTGTTCTCCAGAACCCTGCCAGCCGACTGGCCTGACAGTCAGTGGGTCATGTGACAACGATACGGTGGTGTTGGATTGGTCGGCGGCTAAAGGTACGTCAGGCTACGTGGTCACCGCCACAGGAGACATGGGATACACCTCTTCTTTCCAAACCAACGAGACAACGGTGGAGGCTGAGCTGCCGTGCGGACAATCATTCACCTTCACTGTAAAAGCTCAGGGTGACCGATGTGACAGCGCTGTGAGCCTGCCTCAAGAGTTCCAGACAGGTATGAGTCTCTTTTATATTTTTGATAATGTGGTGTACAATATATTCATATAAAAATGATGACGCAACAATACATCTTCTTCTCAGCTCCCTGTGTGCCCGTGCATGTCCAGAGCTTCACATCGTGTGAGGACAGCCTGGGCTCAGTTAGTTGGGCTGAGAGCGATGGGGCGGACTCTTATTTGGCCATCGCAGTTGGACAGGAAGGCCACACCCACATGTGCACCACAAACACCACCAGCTGCACCTGGGACGACCTGCACTGTGGGGACCTTTACACCGTCCACATCATCGCCAACGACTACATGTGCAGCAGCATGCCGAGCAACAGCACAACATTACGAATGAGTAAACAAGCTTTTGTACTGTGCACAACTAGAAGAAAGAAAAAAACTGTCCTTAAATGTGAAGTCAAGGATTTTTTGTTAACAGGGTGTGTTAAATGCCAGAATTAACATAAGCAACATTTAAAAAAACGACAGACTGGAAAGATATATTTGAAATGAACGTAGAAAATTAAAAAGTTAAATACAATTGAGTAAAACCTGCTTTAAGTGAGGCTCTGAAATAATCTTCAGCTAAAAAGCACATGCATCACCAAAACATCTGAAACAATAACAAAAATATTTTTTACTCCTAGCTTTTCTAAATGATGATTTGTGTTCTGTTTTCTGTGTTTTATATAATTACAATTTATTGGCAGGGTTTTAAATGTTTGTAAGAAAAATCAAGACTTCAGATTAATCTCCTTGGTCTCAGTGAAATTGTAACGTGTTTAAAATTATGTTTGACCAAATTACTATAATTTATTATATTAGTCAAGATACTAATCAGCAGATCAATGTAGAATGATAATAGTGTTTTTTTTCTTTGCAGCCTTAATCACAGCTAAACTTTTGTCTTCTGCTTTTAGCGCCGTGTATTCCTCAGAATTTGACAACCTTTCTGGACTGCACTACGAAGGTGAATATTTTACAATCACAAGCAATTTCTCTCAATGTTCATCTCTAGTAAAATTGTAAACTTTTCTGTCTACATTTCTGCACTTCTGAAAGTGTTTGAATATATAAACTGAAAATGACTGATGATACTAACTAACTATAATAACTATATTATTATCTGTTTGTAAGGTGGGATCGCTGACCTGGAATGCCAGTGACACTGCTGAGTTTTACATCGTGACGGCAGAGTCCAACAGTGGCCACAAAGTGCAGCTCAGCACCACCGACACCTGGACCTTCATTTCTGAGTTTGAGTGCGGCCAAGAGTACTTCCTGTCTGTTCAGGCGGCAGACTCTGTGTGCACAAGCCGACCAAGTCAGCCATCAACACTTGAGTCAGGTAGATTACTATTTTCTAGCATAAAGTTACACTCTATTTTATATCTGTAGCAGTATTTTATTGAACATTTTAATGACTAATATGACTCATATTTTCCTTATACTGTATGCTGTTATCTAGTTTGTTATTGATTATTAGCTTTAAAACGTGTTGTTTTCTGTTCTCCCCTTAGTGCCCTGCCCGCCCATTGGTGTCTCCAGCTTCATGAACTGCGGTTCTAACATCGCTGTAGTGTCTTGGACCGCCTCGGCTGGGGCAAAGTATTACACCGCCACGGTGACGCAGGAAGACGGCCAATCAATGAGCTGCTGGTCTGACGGCGAGCAGTGTGGCATGCCAAATGTCCAGTGTGGACAGAACTACACTGTAATGGTCGTCGCCTCCAACGAGGAGTGTAACTCTGACCCCAGTGAGGCCGACACACTGCAGTCAGGTGAGACAATTTTATCCTCTTCTTTTATGCCTTTTTTATTCAGCAAACAGAAGGTCTGTAAATACTATTGGTCAAGTTTATTTTATGTGCCTTTAAGGATATTTAATGTTTAATTGTATTCAAAACGCTCTCAACTGTAGTTGTTTTCTATTGCCCATGCATGTGATATCAGACATCTTTAAAATTAGGCTTCTTTAGATGATCTCAAATGTTTTGTATCTCTGTGACTAGATAATGAAACGTACCCCATTCTCCTCCCCCTGCCTTTTCCAGTGCCGTGTGTTCCTACTGACGTGGAGGTGACGATAGACTGCTCCAAAAATCAGGCTCTCGTTGACTGGAGTGCCAGCGAAGGGGCTCTGTCCTACAAAGTGACAGCTGAGAGCGTACAGGGAGCCTTGTCCTCCTCCTGCATCAGCACAAACCTGACCTGCACCCTCACCAACCTGACCTGCGGGCACACATACTCCGTCCAGGTGGTGGCTGAGGATGATATTTGCTCAAGTTTACCCAGCCCAGATATAGACTTTGAATCAGGTAAACAAATGAATGGGCATGGATCACCTTTGGATGTTTACTTTTGAATCTGTTAAAGTGTTACTTCAGCCCTCCATTTCTTCCCTCCCTCTCTCAGTTCCCTGCACGCCCAGTATTGGCTCCGTGGCTCTGGACTGCTTCACGAATTCGGCCCTTTTGAGCTGGACTTACGCTGAAGGCGCCCTGGACTACACTGCGACAGCCCAATGCCCTGATGGCCAAGTTTCCACCTGCCACTCCAACTACACCAACTGCGAGTTGAAGGGCCTGCAGTGTGGTCAGACTTATGATGTCACCACTGTGGCTTCAAATGAGAATTGCAGCAGCCCTCCAAGTGCCTTGAAACAGGTTGAGTCAGGTGAGCTCTCATATTAATGACACAAAATGTTTAGACCATCCTTTCCACTGATATGGATGTGGTCTGAGACATAACTGACTTACTAATTGACAATTCAGCCAGGAGAGGTCAGCCAGATAAAGATTTCCAGGTTGCTGTTAAGTTACTACAGAATATAATGTCTGTTAAATCAATAAATCTGACTATTCCTTCTCTCCCTTTCCTTCTCCAGTGCCTTGTCCTCCTGAGGATGTTGTGCCTGTCCTGAACTGCTCCACCAACACAGCCCATGTGTCGTGGCAGGCCAGCAAAGGGGCTGATTTCTATATTGTCCAAGCCTTCGGCATGGAAGAACATGAATCTGTTTGTGAGACAGAGACACAGTCGTGCGTCCTACCAGAGTTCATGTGTGACTTCACCTACAACATCAGCGTGATTGCTGCCAACAGCATCTGCAATGTCTCAAAGAGTGACGTCTCACATCTGCAAGCAGGTGAGGAGGATTTAAGAGATTTAACACATTGAGGCCTTGGAGCAGGATAGGAGAAAAGTGAATATATCTAATTGTATTCTATATACAGTACCCATCATAAAAACGGAAAGAAAGAAACACGTAGATCTTATGGTTCTGTATTCCATAAGGCTGAAACTAATTTAGGCAAAAACGAATTCTTGGCAGGACTGATATTGCTAACAAAAGATGATTATTGCACCTTTTCTGATCCTGAATCAAATAAAAATGAATGTTTCTGTGCCTGTGCAGTGCCCTGTGTACCGCAGAAGGTGGAGGCCTGGTTGAATTGTGAGTCTGGCGCTGTGGCCGTCTCCTGGGAGCCTTCTAAAGGAGCAACATCATACACCACAATTGCCCAGGGCAACGGGGGCTACGAGTCAACGTGCAACAGCAGCACGACAACGTGCGTGTTCGATGACCTGCTGTGCGGCCTCAACTACTCAATCACTGTCAGCGCTTCAGATGATACATGTAGCAGTGCTAAAAGCTCTCCGTTGGTGATCAACACAGGTAGAATACCGTTAATAATGAATGTTGTATTAAACCTCTTTTTATACATGTCTATGTTCATACTTGTCTGTGTGTGTGTGTGTGTGTGTGTGTGTGTGTGTAGTGCGGTGCATACCACAGAATGTGAAAGCAGAGATGGTGTGCAGTAATGACACAGGTGTGGTGTCGTGGGAAGAAGGAGAGGAAGTGTCCTCCTACATGGTGCGAGCTTTTGGGCCCGATGGTGACAAAATTAATTGTAACAGCACAACAACCAGTTGCCAGCTACCCAACATGCATTGCGGCCAGCTGTACAACCTCACGGTGACAGCTGAGGATGGACAGTGTGACAACAGCAACGCCTACCTCGGCCTGCAGTCAGGTAAGATTATCAGTAGGGTAAGTGGCATTTTCTATGCCTATAGATTTGAGTGAAACTGTTTTTTATTGGTTGTCTGACACTGTAAGTTACATTTAAACACTTTTATTATCTATTTTTAACTAACCATAGATAGTTAACAGTTTAATAGGATTGTTTTGGGATAATGTTGCTGTTAGTAGTAATGTAAGGTCAGTCTCAGATAATAATACATTTGGTATGAGATAACGTACTGTAATATAACAGGAAAACATGTGACAGGGCAGCCTAGAGATGAAGATGTTTCATAGACCTGTCCTTTCGGGACCTGGTTAAACACCAGTTGGTAGAATAAACGTTTTTTATTGGTAAACTTAGAGCTAAACATGTGTGGCCACCAATGTTCCCCTTTTTGCAGTTAGTGGACTTAATGGTGTGTTAAACTTGCTTTGGAGTAATAAGTATGCAACACTACAGTCAGATGAGAATGATCTGTTATTTATATCTCTTTTCCTCAGGCTTTTCTCAGGAAGAACCATTTAGTGTTTGATATTTGCTTGATTAGACAGAACATTCCAATGTTTAGAAAATATTAGTTATAAAGGAACTATATCGCCTCACTACTCTTTTTTTCTCTCTCCTAGTACCTTGCAGTCCGACCAACGTCAAGGCTTCCCTACTCTGCGACTCAAACTCTGCTGCAGCGACATGGGAGCGAGCCAGTGGAGCACTCACCTATCGTGCAGTGGGCGTGACAGAAGATGGCAGCCATCAGGCTGAATGTAACAACACCATGACCTTCTGTGACCTGAGCGATCTGCAGTGTGGACAGACCTACAACGTGAGCGTGTACGCCCAGGATGAGTCCTGCTCCAGTGTGGAAAGCAACAAGGCTTACGTACGAACAGGTATTGTTAACATCTTGTGAAGGCTTGTTGTGACTTTATACAAATAGTAAGAGTATTATGTATTGTTTTTTTAATCTTTGCCTCTCCCTGCCTCCCCCCTTTTGTTTTCCTTTCAGCCAATTGTCCACCCCAGAATGTGGTCGTTGATTCACAATGTGAAGAAGGCACCATCGTTGTATCTTGGTCCCCCAACACAGACGCCCAGTACTTCCATGTGGCGGCAGTGAGCAACACAAGAGCGAGACTGTACTGTAACTCCAGCGGCACTGCCTGCACCATAAAGGATCTACCATGTGGACAGAGATACAACGTGACGGTGCTGTCTGTGAGGGATGGCTGTGAGAGTAAGCCCAGTGCTGTGGTAGAGACTTCCTCAGGTAAACCTCAAGCAGAAACCCACTTTTTTGTCAATTCAATGCAATTTATTAGCACAATTGTCAGGATTTAGGACTGAGAGTAGGAAAAAATTGCCAAAATAGGCGTTGTCAAGATTTTCCACAAGGGGGAGTAGCTGCCCAGTTATTTTCAGACCAAAACCAAGGCTTTAAATCCTGCGCCATCTGACGAAAAGTAATATATGGGTTCTACAAATTAAACGCATGCAGCAACTGAAAAGCAATAAGTGTTACAACTACCTTTCTTGAGACCAATGCTCAAGATATTTAGAATAAATATTGGCCGAGAACCAGCGATGGGATTACAAACGAAATGATCAGTCCTTTATAGATGGTGGATATCCACATGAACTACAGCTGCTGTTGTTATTTTGAATGCCTGTATATGATACACGTTATCCGCAGATGTGAAGTGTGAAGGTGTAACGTTCTGATTTCCCTCCACAGCTCCATGTGTGCCCAGGAACATTGAGGGCCGACTGGACTGTGTATCCAACAATGCCTGGGTGACGTGGGACGCCTCAGAAGGAGCCCTCAGCTACTCTGTACTGGCCACGGGGGTCGGAGGTCACAACTCCAGCTGCACTTCCACCAGCTCTCCTTGTGCTGTCCCTGATCTTGAATGTGGGATACTTTACACCATCCACGTCACTGCCGTCAACAAACACTGCCGCAGCAATCACAGCGCCACCTTTGAGCTTGAGACAGGTATTCAACATGATTCTCTTCTCTCAAAATAACAATTCAAAGTGCTGGCGTGTTGTCTTTAAAACTCTTCTAGAAAGTAATCAAGTAAACATTGTATCGTATTAATATATTATCAAACACACTCTTAATGTTGTCTGGGACATAACTGTTACACTGACATCATGGGTCAGTGGTTCCCACCCTTTTAATATTTTCAATAGCTTCCATGTCATGTGAGTCCATATCAATGCAGCATAATATGATAATAAAGTTCTGGACTATTTCATCAAAACAATGCATTAAAACACTAAACACAACTTGTCCTTTGACACAACACATAGTCATTTGAGCCATTGTTTGTTGATAATATTGATGAGAGCAGCTTCAATTCAAATGTTTCCAGTATTCGAGTTATGGCAGATAGTTTCGGTTTTATTTGTGAAATGAATAGTGTTAGATTGGCAGGTGAGAACAGCATGTTGTGGGGGAGTGAATAGTTTAATGGAAGAGTTGATAATTAGGAGTTAGGATTCCTTTACAATGAGTAGTGTTCCCCCCACTTTACAGCTTGTTGATCAAGCAGAGATGTTCCCTTCTAAAACCACAGATTGTTTAATTGAATAGTTGTCTGCAATAAAACTGTTATATAAAATAATAATTTTTGAAGGAGAACAAGGTTTTTTTCTTCACTTTTCTATCCCTCGAATCATTGTGTAACCTTTCAAATTAATGTTATGACCCATTGGAGGGGTGGTGGCCCCTACTGTATGTTGAAAGCAGATTGATTGTTTGAACTGATCATCTGCAATATAGTTTTTAATTTTAATTGGAGCTTTATAATATATTATCTTATCAAATGCACATCTGCTTACTCAAAGTGAAAAGAATAATCAGTGATATCGAAAGGAATATAAAAGTACGTGATGGTTTTAAAGGGCTTATGAAGGACTAATGCTATAACTCATAAAGGCTTATAACATGGTGCCATTTCTGAAGGTTATGAAAGAACAAGAAATTAGGAGAATACAAGGCTTAACTGTTCTAAAATGTACTTGACTCTGACTTATTTTATTGAGTATTTCATACAGCTTTTGTTTGAATCTTCACGCTATCCTTTTTCTTATGCGTCCTGTCCCATAGGTCCTTGTGCTCTCTCATCTATAAGCGCAGGGACAGAATGCAACAGTAGCACGATCCTGGTTGAATGGGCAAAGATGGACGACACACCCCTCTACCTGGTGACCGCTGAGGGCCACGACCAAACCCTAATTTCCTGCAACAGCTCCTCCAACTCCTGTGTACTGCCGGATATCCACTGTGGCATGCATTATAGCATCATAGTATCAGCTTCTTCTGATAAATGCAGCAGCCTCAGAAGCCCTCCAAAGAAGATCAAAACTGGTAATTAATTCGCCTGTATATCTAGAACTAGCATTTCTCTTAGTCCTGGGTCAATTACTCCTGGTTGTGTTTATCCTGTTTATTCAACCACATCCTGTTTTTATTCAGAAAAGTTTTATTTAAATAGAAGGACGAAAGACGTTTTAGTTTTATATTAGTCAAACATATTTCACATATAATTGTATTTCCCTTATTATTATTATTATTATTATTATTATTATTATTATTATTATCATAAATACAGATACTCTTCTTATTTGGGTCCTCCTGACTTGGCTCATTGGTGATTTGTATTATGCACAAATATTAAACTACCGAAACACCGACCACACGACAGACAGAAACAGACTTTTTAAATTGAAATAAAGTAAGAAAAACTCTATTTATTAGAATGGTATGTAAAGTAGTTATATGCAAAACTATTTTACAAGACATGTTTGAGCAGGGCATTTGAAATTGCCTCAAACTATACATAAACTCAATCTAGTCAATATACAGTAATGGATAAATTGTTGGCAATGCAGTGTGTCAAGTTTTTCTAGTTGCCAGGGGTATTGTCATTGCTGTTGTTTCTTTATGATATTTATGTGAAATTAACTATTTTGTGGACATCCGGGAAGAGATAAAGCAGCTTGTAATATAAAAACAAAACAGAACCATAAAATATTTTCTCTGCCCTCCTTAGCGCCCTGTGTCCCGGACAATGTGACAGTGGAAGCATCGTGTGAGGAGAATGGGGCCACAGTGATGTGGGGACCCTCCCCTGTGGCGACGTCGTTCCTCCTGACAGCAACAGGGAGGGGCGGACATGTTGCGAGCTGCGACACCTCAGAGAACAACTGCACCCTGACTCACCTGCACTGTGGACAGCTCTACAACTTAAGCATCACTGCCAGTGGGGACAACTGCACCAGCCAGCCCAGCACCTCAACCTTCAGGACAGGTAGCGACACGATGGGATATTTGTATTTATAGGACATTAAAGTGGTCTATTGAAATCAGACAACAAGACAATTGAAACATCAAAGAGTGGAGGTAAGGAGGATTTTCCGGCAAGACATTTTCTATTATTATACTCCAATATTCATAAGTTATCAATTTTCAGGGTTTGAAAAAAACCTTTTACTATTATTTTGTTACTGTATTCATCAATATAATTAACAATATGTACCATTTAGCTGCTACTTTCTACAGTTTTGTTTCTACTTACTACATTGAATTTTACTGGACTTTACACTTTACTAGTTACCTCTCCTAGTTAGATTTATCCCTCCCTTTCAAATCTTAGCCAACAAGGATGAGTTAACATTATTGCCAAAAAATGTAGAACCTGCAAACCAACTTTTCCTGATCGAATCTCTGATTGGAGTTATTTCCTCTCTGTGGTCGCAGTGCCCTGTGAGCCTTCCGGTCTCGCAGTGGATATGGATTGTGAGGCTAACTCTGCCATGCTGTCTTGGGATGCCAGTGAGGGCGCTGTGGAGTACTTTGCCTGTGCCCAGTCTATGGATGGAGAGGCGTTCTACTGTGAAAACACTGCAGCTTCCTGCACCATCGAAGGCCTGAAATGCGGAGGCGTTTACAATTTCTCTGTTGAAGCTTCAAACGGCGTCTGCAACAGCTCGTTCAGTCCACCTCTGCAGGTGGGAGCAGGTAAAACAAATTGATATTCACAATAATGGGTCAAACTAGTCGATTTACCGTAGTTCATTTTTACACAAATAAACTTAATTGTTGAGTGGTGAATATATCAAAATGAGTCCTAGCAGAAAGTACAGAGAAAAAGTGTATGTCAGGTTTTCAAAGGGATACATTTAACAAGTAGTTGCTCTGAAGAACAAGGGCTAGAAATGTTTTCTTGGCTAATTTAACTGGTAAAATGCTCAACTTATATCTTCCCTCCTTAGCTCCATGCCCTCCAACTGGTGTCAATGTCAGAATACAGAAGATAGACCAAGGTCACTGGGTCATGACGTCATGGGACAGCGTCAACTGTTCTGATGTTGAGTACCAAGCGAAGATAACCGGCCGAATCCAAAACAACCCACAGTCCCTGATGGATGTCTCTTCTTACTGGCTGGCCAGGAAATACTTTGAGTTCCCAATGCCTTGCAGCACCGCTTATAATCTCACTGTACGCTCCAGAAACGCAGCTGCAGTCAGCGGACAATCCAGTGCCTTTAGTGGAGTCACAGGTACTGCTAGACTGAAATTAACCCCAACCATATACAATAGAAGATTAATTGTTTTTTTGAACTTATAAATATTTTTATTAAAAAGAATCTTCCTTTCTCTTTTGAGTTTAGATTTACGTGAAAAAAAGGAAAATAGGTCAACACTATACTCTATAATTTATTTGGAGTATACACACATTAAATACTCTCTTAAAACACACTAACATGTCATTAGATATACTGGAAGTAGTTATTTATGTATTTGTCATAAGTACAAATTTGGAGGCTGATGTATAGCAATTGTGAGAATATAAAACATATCTTCATAAGAGAAGTTTTAATTGTTGACAAATTATTTACATTTTAAAACACTAATTTGTCTTTATGTCAGCTTAAAACTACCGTAGTTATTTTCTGACCATTTATTTATGTTGGTAAACTGCTTATTAATGTGAAATAGGGCTGAAATGAAACATTCAAATTATGATCGATGTTTTAAATGTAACAACAGTCATTATTTTAACTTCATTTCCATTGTGTTCCCAGTCCCCTGTGCTCCGCAGAATGTGCAGTTCACCGGTGACACAGACTCAGCCGAGCTTTCCTGGGATGCGTCAGTGTTTGCCACGAGATACAATGTCTACAATTTGTCAGGGGAAGATCGAGTTGAGCTTTGCAGCACCACCGGGCTCTCCTGTCAGCTGACCAACTTCGATCCTGACGCCACTGGAGTAACAGCCAGCAATGAAGAGGGAGAGAGCATCCTTAACCAAGATATTACAGGTGAGACAAGCAGGGCCAAAACATCAGACTTGAAATATCTGCCTGGGTCTCACAGAAAAAAATAATGAGGTGTCTGTGTTTAATGCATATTCCTCACCTTCCTTAGGTCCAGCAGTAGCTCGCATAAGAAGAGATTTGCAGGACAGTGCAAACTATGCCAGTTTAGACAAAGGTCAGTGTAGTGTTATTACTGTACATCACCTTGAAAAAGTATGTACTATGATCTGTACTATAAAACAACTGGTAATATCTTACCCATCTTTCTCACAGATCTAAAAATCCCGAAAGTGCTGAATGTAAAAGTAAGTGGACTTTCCTTGTATGTGAATTGGACGTCAGTGATGGATGCAACCGAGTACAAAGTTGTGATCGAGGAGCAACAGAAAGACCAGCATGCCAATCAGCAACCTAGAGTGAGAATCGTGCAGGGTAATTTTTACAAAGAGAACGACCTCAAGCCGCGGACCAACTACTGCATCAGGCTAGCAGCCAAAAACACCGTCAACCAAAGTGAATACTCCAAGCCAATCTGTAGAACCACCGGTGTCTCCTCATGAAAAATCACAGATCCACTTAAATGGACACTGGACTCAGCAGAAATATCTTCTTAATTGTTATGGTTGTTTTCTTCACTCTGTAGCATCCTTAACACCATTTTAAAGGTTCAATCTTTAAGAAACTTTAAAAGGAGAATTGTAAAAAAGAAAGTTATTACTACAAAACAATGATTCTGTTTCATCTCAAGAATGCATCACGATCAAACCTATGGCGAAACATTTTAGATTTGAATGCTTATGAATCAATTGTTTTAGTAATAGCATATATACATTTTCATAACTGTGGCTGGTATCCTAGAATAACAAAGTATTGCTGAATATTGTATTTATCAAAAATTGATTTGTTTTTATGATTGACCATTAGATTCTGTGGATGATTGCTAAACTAGAAAAGTAGTTTACAAAATAAACTGGTAATTTATCAAGCAATATTTTTCAAAGCCATTCAGTTATTCTTAATGATGTCCTAGGTATGTGCCTTCTCACTTTGTGAACACTTTTACAGATATTGAGTAAAATAAATCTGTGAAACATTAAAATATCCCTCTGTGTAAACAAAGATGTTTGAAACCTTCCTTTAAAAAAAAAAAAAAATCTAAACTCAATGTGTGTGTGTCTGAATCCATCCAAAGCTAGTGAGCTGAAAAGTTCTTGCAATCTAATAATCCTATTCTTGTCGGAAAATTAGCTGAGATTTTGGCCACTTTGTGATGTCACAATTTTATTTTGGGTTGTGCAACCATTGTAATAATAACCAACCAAGGTAACACCCGCCCAACTTATCACCTGAACCTCCTCGTAGAGCACCTTTCTGTTTTGTTTTTTTAAACCAATCATCTCGAAGAGAACCATGGGGTGTGGCAGTTCATTTGTATTTAAAGCTACAGACACAGAATTAGCACTTTTGAAACAGGGCTGAAACAGAGGGGTTTATGGCATGCTACAATTCATGATCTGTTTGGTATGTCGAGCCAAACACTTCAGAGACATGTTTAGTATTTATCTGAGGCCTCTAATATATTGTTGAGAGAGTATAATAGGGGACCTTTAACTTTGAACGATTAACTCTTCCATTACCATTCACTCCCCCACAAGCTGTGAGCTGTTCTCACTACATCCCTTTTGAACTACCACTTTTCATTATGAATTTCACAAATAAAACCAAAACTATCTGCCATAACTCGAAGATTGGAAACATTTGAATTAAACCTGCTTTCATCAATATTATCTACACACAATGGGTCACAAGGCTATGTGTTGTGTCAAAGAACAAGTTGTATTTAGTGTTTTGAATGCATTGTTTTAATGAAACAGTCCATAACTTTACTGTTTTGTATAAAATAGAAGGTGGACTACAATCCAACAATATACTACTTGTCCAGTGTAGTAATACAATGCTGCATGATTTGGAGTCACATGGAGCCTATTGAAAAAATTGCTGAATTTTAATTAAAGTATTCATTAAAAAATGTTTAAAAGAGGGCAAAAACCCAATAAAAAGAAAAGTGTCCAACTCGTGAAATGTATTCATACCCAATGCTGCATTAATTTGGAACATAATTGTGTTAAGGCCAAGCAGAATGTGTACATGTATGGATAAGGTAAGTCAATAGATAAGCAAAAAAAACAAAACAACCACAATAAATAACATAAGTCGTCCTTAGGATATTTCAAACTTAATATCTGGAAAGGTTTGGAGCACTTGTATTAGAAATTGAGTGCATAATAAAACATGGTTGAGCTGAAACAAAATCAAATAATCTCCAGTCCTGAGAGTACTAGTTTTGAAGGCTACTGACCTTTAATATAAGAAATCAGAATCAGAAACAGGTTTATTGCCAGGTAGGTTCGCACATACTAGGAATTTGACTTGATGTCGTGCATACGTAAAAGGGTCATTCCAGAATTGTAGGACATTTCATGTCCCCCATATAAAAAAATCTAATAATCTATGCCCAAAAAGCTAAAATATGCACTTGTGTTAAACATACTTGTCTTGAGACAACATGTATATAAAGTTGTAGAAAAAGTGGTTTCAAAATATTATTTAAATGATCAAATAGCTCTCGAACACCCCCTAAAATGGCATTTTTCTCTTGTTCCAGCTTCTTGGTGACCAACTTGCATGTCAAATATAAAAATTTAGAATAGGGATTTGATTTACTTTTTTTGGTATTATTCTATTGATATATTTCTCTTGTAATGGTAAAATCAATTTGCTAAATCATAAACATATTTTAAATAACAGTAATTTTGCACAGAAGGTGTGTCCCTCAACATGCATTCAACCCTGTTACCCAAACCTTTTTAGATTGGCAGAGGAAGTGAACAAACTGTAAGTCAGATGACGCAGTGGAAAGGACATCAGCAAGCCATGTAGTGCCATGGGTAGACCAAAACGAAGTCCTCCTTGATTTTTCATATTTTTACAATCTTTTCAGTCTTAAAAGAGTGTGGCACTCTGACCCACTCAACCCTGTTACTCTATATTATCAGAATAAAGCATATTAATTTCAAAGTTATCTTTCTTTCATTAGATATCCAAGTTTGTCCTTGCCTTGAAAGTAGCATTAAATGCTACATCTAGCAATAATTCCTGAGGTTAAAGCTCAAATTAGCATTGATTTTCAACCCTGTTACTTTCAACCCTGTTACTATTCTTCATTGGAAAATATACATGTGATGCATTAGCTGGGCAAATCACTTTTTTTTTATGGTTTATTATCTGTTTTTCCTAAATACATAAAAGAAAATTATAAAATAAAAGGTTATTTTTTCAAAAAACAGATAATAAACCATAAAAAAAAAGTGATTTGCCCAGCTAATGCATCNACGGTTTCGCCGCTGCGAGGCTCCACTAGTACTCATCAAATAACTGTGCATGGGGCCTCAAATTAGCCCCTGGCCCTAGTTATTCTTGAAAATACTTCATCTTCAATACCTTTTTGGGCCGTAAATCAATATACTTATGTTATTATAATGTAATTTTAAGTTTGCACATCTTTATTTATAATTTTTTCAAAATGTACATCTCTTCAGTTCAATCCCTGAACGCATACTTTCCACCTGAGTGGACATATAAAAATCTCTTTGAAAAAACTAGATTTTAAAAAAAAAATAATTCAAATCTTGTTTTTCATGCCCCAAGAGCAATAATAACACTTGGTAAAAAAACTCCTGACTGAGGCTTTAATAATTCATGCATGAAAGGGCTAGCTATATTTTATTACCGTGTAAAAGATTTTTTGTTTTATAGGCTATTATATTCGTGTTTTTTATATTTTGGGTCATTACAGAATTGGAGGACAATTTAGACACCAATCTTTTTGAAAAAATAACCTTTTATTTTATAATTTTCTTTTATGTATTTAGGAAAAACAGATAATAAACCATCAAAAAAAAGTGATTTGCCCAGCTAATGCATCACATGTATATTTTCCAATGAAGAATTACCCGTTACTCTAATTATAGTAACAGGGTTGAAAGTAACAGGGTTGAAAATCAATGCTAATTTGAGCTTTAACCTCAGCCCTGTTACTATAATTAGAGTAACGGGTAATTCTTCATTGGAAAATATACNGTTATGAGAAAACCGTGTTTCAAGGCGAGCATTGTGTTGCCATGGCAACGGCATTTGAAGAAATCTCAAAACTGTCCCGTAGATGTCTTCACGGCTGGACTGTTTGCACACTGCTATCTGAAGTCTGCTGCTCTGAGCATGTCAGTTGGAGTGATGACATCATCGTGTTCCATTGCACAGGTGTTTATAGTTGGGTGCCTAGACTTCAAAGGCTTCATTGTTCTGAATGAGAGATGAACCTCTTACATGTGAACGTTTTGTGGAAGAACGATAACAGATATCTGTGAAATTTCAAAACGTGAAGCATGTCAAGGAAGTTGAGTGTCTGAAGCGTAATGTTTGTGTACTTTCTGGCTAATAATGTGGCCTTTTTGGCAGTTTAACTAAAAGTGTGCGGCTGCTGCTGTGAGGTAATATCTGCCTGAAATTACATTGGGCTTTAATGGAGACATGTTGAACGTTTTTTTTACTTCATGCCCTCAAGAGGCACTTTGTTTAATTATGTTTTGCTTAATTATTTGTAATTTTTCAAGCTACGAGATGTTTTCCTACGTTTATCATGAAAAATGATGTCTCAAGAATGTAGGGTTTGGTAATTATGGCGGTTTTAAAAAAAATATATCAAGGCACATTTCAAGATTTCTAGCTGTGACATCACACACTCTAGTTAATGTTAAAATGTGAAGAAAACCTCTAAAACAAGGTCTGAACAATGTTCAATATCTCTAAAAGTAAGAATCATATTTAAAAGTTGTTTTACACGAATAATGTCAGAAAGATGTGTAACATTTTAAAGTTGGAATGAGGTTTCTGAGTGAAAGTATGAATGAACAGTTAGCAGTTGAAGTCGCATGAAGATTTGTTGAAGGTGAAGAATTTCTCCATTGACTTCAATGGTTAAAAATGTGATGTATTATGGGATGTATCTCTGGAATTATGAAAGTTATGAATGAGAAAAGTAATAGCAATCGTTTCCCGACCGAGCTGAACGTTTTGATGTTTGAACGGAGTTTCTGCGATGTTCAATGCGGGAGAAGAAGCGCGGCAAAATAAGTCGGCGGAATAATAAAAATGTGTCCGTAGAAGAACAGTTAGTTAGAATGCTGTTAACAGCATTCCCACTAAATTATAATAATGTAAAAAATGCCCAAATTTAATATAAGATAAAAACCCTAATAATAAAAAAAAAGGGAGAGATGGTATGCTTTCTTGAAAACACGTTGTGAGAAGTGTTTTTCTTTTATTCTGGATGCCTCAGCCTTCCTTCCTGCAGTCGTGCCAGTGTGTGCATGTCACCGCAACTCTACTAAAGTGCTAAATCTTTTAACACTGCAATTAAAATCTAACAGCCCCGCAAAGGGGGTTTCACCAGATAAATACTGTTTTGGTTCTTCATATGAACAGCAGATCAATGTAAATATCGAATTCATGTTTTAATTCAGATATAAGGCTGAACATCTATCTTCTACAATTGTTGTCTTTTTGAAAAGCGAAATTTTTTTAAATGTGTGTGCATATATTTGCATAATGCATTCTAGACCACTGCTGTTAAACTGCTGCAGCTGGTGTTTGAAATATTTGGAATGCTACAATACACATTTGCAGTATTATGTACAGGATCTTATCATGGCTGTCCAATCAGATGCATTAACCTAGTGAAGGGGTAATTGGCTGCATTTATATAGCACAATTATCCAATGCACTTTAAAATGTGCTTCTCATTATATCGAACACATTTAACTGCTGGTCAGAGATCAGTTCATACCGACTTTTAGAGAGTATGATAAATATACCCTAAAAAAAAAGTTCACCCTAAGTCGACTCTAAAGACAATGTGAAAGAGGTCACTGTTACTGGTGAACCTACAGGTAATTATCTCCTGAATATCCATCCCCCTCAACTTTGTCTCGAGTTTGAGCTTCTTTTTGATCGGCTTCCCCCTGATCTCTCAGGATACAGCACAGGTCACTCCCGCTCCTCCAGCATGTCAGAGTTCAGCCACCGGAGAAACCACTCAGTGGGCAGCGCCTCGACGGGCATCGGTAGCATCCCAGAGCCAAGCGATGACCGAGAGTCCAGACCCTGTCCAGCTCTACCTGAACACCCGGTCCCCCCCGCAACCACTAGCAACCCAGCGGGGACACCTGTACGGAGCGCCTCGTCCTGTGAACGCCTCAACAGGTGGGTCATTTTAGTAAAGAAATATAATTTTTATTTTATTTAAAGCACTTCCAGATAATAATCATCGTCATAGGCCTATTTAATAGAGGAAACTGTCAGTAAGTCATTGTAATCTCTTTATTGTGTGTAATGATTACAAAACATAGAAGCCGTTAGTTAAAGGAAGCTAAAAAACTTTAGATAAAACCCCACCTCAGACTGTCACATTTCAGGAAGCAGCTGTAGAAAGCAGCGAGGCAGAACAGTCTATGTGGTTTCATTATGGAGGTGTCAGTAGGGGGCTTTTGGTACTTATGAAAACGTTATTCATTGTATTTGTGTGATCTAAATATGTCCAACCATGAATCAAGCTAAGCTGTTCAGACTCACGACTGGTGAGGGTTTTACCTTTTATGGGTTAAGCTGCACTTCATATTTAGCCAATCTCTTCAAAGACCAACTTTCAGTCATGTTGTTCTATTTCAATTCCTCTGACACTGTGGCATGTAGCATGAGAGAGAGATACAATCTATACCACTCTCAGATCCCCACATAAAATATGAAACCACTGGCTGCACGACAACCTCACATGACAACAAGGCTCCATGAAATGACTGCACCGACCAACAGATCGTCTGGCTCATATCCCCCTCTAAAACCAGATTGACTTTTACACTTAAGTCCTGGATTGTTTAATGAAACCAATTGGAATGAATGTGTTAATTGGGGGGCTTTAGAAGTGGTGGTAGGCACATTGTGTTACCTTCAGACTAAGACAGGCTGGCTACTTCAACCCTTCAGTTATTTACCCACAAGAGATGTATCGGTGTTGGCATCCAACTCTAGATGATAAAGCACACTTCCTAAAATGTTGAATGGTTCCTTTAAATTAAAAAAACAGAACATTCATCAAATAGATTGCAGAAATATTATTGAAATCTATACTATCATATAGTATGCCATGTAAAAGTTACAGTATGTCAAAACACAATATATATTGTCATTCAAAACCATAGTATATTCTCATAAAAGTTTTAAGTCTGTATTTTCATAAAATCAAGGTATAGATTGTCATAAAATAAGACAGTATATTTGTTTTTAAAATAAAATATTACCTAAAGCCAGTAATAAAAAGTCAGGTTAATATGACGTAAATAGAATAAAATAAATATAAGTAGTTAGAGTTGGGCAAAAAAGTATTTAGTCAGCCACCAATTGTGCAAGTTCTCCCACTTAAAAAGGAGAGGCCTGTAATTTTCATCCTAGGTATACCTCAACTATGAGAGACAAAATGAGGAAAAAAAAAATCCAGAAAATCACATTGTCTGATTTTTAAAGAATTTATTTGCAAATTATGGTGGAAAATAAGTATTTGGTCAATATCAAAAGTTCATCTCAATACTTTGTTATATACCCTTTGTTGGCAATGACAGAGGTCAAACGTTTTCTGTAAGTCTTCACAAGGTTTTCACACACTGTTGCTGGTATTTTGGCCCATTCCTCCATGCAGATCTCCTCTAGAGCAGTGATGTTTTGAGGCTGTCGCTGGGCAACACAGACTTTCAACTCCCTCCAAAGATTTTCTATGGGGTTGAGATCTGGAGACTGGCTAGGCCACTCCAGGACCTTGAAATGCTTCTTACGAAGCCACTCCTTCGTTGCCCGGGCGGTGTGTTTGGGATCATTGTCATGCTGAAAGACCCAGCCACGGTTCATCTTCAATGCCCTTGCTGATGGAAGGAGGTTGTCACTCAAAATCTCACGATACATGGCCCCATTCATTCTTTCCTTTACATGGATCAGTCGTCCTGGTCCCTTTGCAGAAAAACAGCCCCAAAGCATGATGTTTCCACCCCCATGTTTCACAGTAGGTATGGTGTTCTTTGGATGCAACTCAGCATTCTTTCTCCTCCAAACACGTCTAGTTGAGTTTTTACCAAAAAGTTCTATTTTGGTTTCATCTGACCATATGACATTCTCCCAATCCTCTTCTGGATCATCTAAATGCTCTCTAGCAAACTTCAGACAGGCCTGGACATGTACTGGCTTAAGCAGGGGGACACATCTGGCACTGCAGGATTTGATTCCCTGGCGGCGTAGTGTGTTACTGATGGTAGCCTTTGTTACTTTGGTCCCAGCTCTCTGCAGGTCATTGACTAGGTCCCCCCGTGTGGTTCTGGGATTTTTGCTCACCGTTCTTGTGATCATTTTGACCCCACGGGGTGAGATCTTGCGTGGAGGCCCAGATCGAGGGAGATTATCAGTGGTCTTGTATGTCTTCCATTTTCTAATAATTGCTCCCACCGTTGATTTCTTCACACCAAGCTGCTTACCTATTGCAGATTCAGTCTTCCCAGCCTGGTGCAGGTCTACGATTTTGTTTCTGGTGTCCTTTGACAGCTCTTTGGTCTTGGCCATAGTGGAGTTTGGAGTGTGATTGTTTGAGGTTGTGGACAGGTGTCTTTTATACTGATAACGAGTTCAAACAGGTGCCATTAATACAGTTAACAAGTGGAGGACAGAGGAGACTCTTAAAGAAGAAGTTACAGGTCTGTGAGAGCCAGAAATCTTGTTTGTTTGTAGGTGACCAAATACTTATTTAACCAAGGAATTTACCAATTAATTAATTAAAAATCCTACAATGTGATTTCCTGAATTCTTTCCCCCCATTCTGTCTCTCATAGTTGAAGTGTACCTAGGATGAAAATGACAGGCCTCTTTCATCTTTTTAAGTGGGAGAACTTGCACAATTGGTGGCTGACTAAATACTTTTTTGCCCCACTGTACATGTTTTTGCCATGATGACCATAATGTAGTTTGTAATATTAGTGGCAACAAAATTGATTTTAAACAAAGTGTGTTGATATCAACATTAACAAATTGTTTGGTGATAACTAGTCGACTAAAAACTTAGTGAACACACAAGCAGCATCATGTGTTAGAAGTGGAAGCCATTAATGGCCAATCAGACATAAAATGACTGGTACATCCTCCCCTCAGACACCCTGTGAAGCAGGACTCCATGGAGTCTCAGCTGAAGAGAATGGACGACACGCGGGTCGATGCTGACGATGTTGTGGAAAAGATTCTCCAAAGTCAAGACTTCACACCAAGCCTGCTAGACTCCAGTGCTGAAGGTAGGCTACACATCCAGAGAAACAACATGGTGTCCTTTATCAAGTCTATCGCTACCGCCATACCTGCAGGATTTCATTCTTTGGGTAGTCATTGTTGTGTATGTTGGCAGATTGTGCACATCGTCTCTAAATGGTTTAGCTAACAAAACTCAGAAGTATTCTTATACTCTGTAGCCATCCATCAAAGGAAAAAACCATCGTTCTGCTTTTTTATTTGTATTTATCAAGTTAAAAAGCCAAACATAAGCTAACTCTAGCTTCTTGGTTGTGGACATGTGAAGGTTTTTCTCTGTTGTTAATAATTGTAAATGTAATACTCTAGAGTTCTGGTCTTTGGGAATGTGTCTCAAGCAGATCCTGCATTTCTCTCTTTTTTTAAATAAAAATAATAACCAGACTTCATCTAACAATCCTTCAAATGTTCTCTTTTTTTAATGGGTTTTTGATTAATTTATAAGTTATTTTGTTAATAAAATGTCAGAAAAGTTTGCAAAATGCTCATCCAATTTAGGAACCCAAGTTTATAATGGGTTTATGTTTTGTCTGTCAATGATATAAATGAAAGAGAAGCAAAACATTTTTTATTTAAGAATATGGTATGAGCAAATGTTTGGATGCAAATTCACTCAAATGCTGAATGAAAATAGTTGCCGACTTATTATTTGACTATCAACTAATCAAATTGGTCATCAGTAGTCGCAGCCCTAGTCTGTGGTATGTCTCTGTGTAAAATGCACAGCTACTTGAATGACAGTAATGAGCTCGTAGTATTTTGCCACAGCATGACTCAGTCTGTGTACTCTGAGGCGTGAGGCATTGTTTTTCTTTCCAAGGTTTCATCCATCTCAAAGCTAGGAAAAGAAAGCTGCTGTCAATACATGATTATTTTTAGATTGCCTAGCAACTGGCTGCTCCTCATAACAAAAATTATACAGGAGGATGTGGGCACTCTCAGTACTGACCGCATGTTACTGCTACTCTATCTGTTTCAGAGGAAGGCTTGCGCCTGTTCGTCGGCCCTGGGGGAAGCACGGCGCTGGGAAGCCATCACCTCCCCACCAGGTGAACTTTACTCATTATAAAACAATTGTTGCTCATAGGAGATGTAGCGGGGTCATCCGGTAATGGCACTTGGAACTCTCTCCGGATCGGAGTACAATAACTATGTTTTATTAGTTGAGGCTTTTATTGTCATATGGCTCTAGGGATGCCAATATCAGTCTGATAGTTTGTCTAGCACTTAGGTTCAAACTGACACAACTAGCTGATGTATTGCCAAGATTTGTTATAATAAACCTTTCCTTTTTGCTGTCATACTTGTCCAGTACTGAAGTTTTACGACTAGATACTTGCAAATCTAATGACCTGACATCAGCTGAAACAATGTACACTTTGTTATGCTGAAAGATCTCTACCGTTTGCTTGGCTGTGGATAGGATCCAAGGCTTTAAAAAGATGCGCTAGGTCAAAGAATGGTCTAAAACAAGTAGCTATTTGTTAGACACATGCAGCTAGATAACTTTAGTAGTGCTGAGTGGTCCATGGTGTTGAGATAATACCGCCTATCAGCCAGCAGAGGCTAGCCACAGCAGTTTAACTCAAGCAGACACAATGTAGATATAAGGTCGGGTCAAGTTGAGATTTGCTCTTTGTTTGGGTAGAGTGGGAGTTGAAGGCAGGTTTAAAGTAGGGCTGCTCGATTATGGCAAAAATCATAATCTCGATTATTTGGGTCAATAATTGCGATTATTAAATGCAATTATTCATTGACTTTGAAAAAAAATTTGAACAGTATGTTTTTAACAGTTGATTACCCTGAACTTTAAGTATAATTAAACGGAGAAAAAAAAAAAAAAAGTATTTATAAAAAAAAAATAAAAATAAATAAGTAATAATAATAATAAAAAATAATGGTTTTACTTTGATTACGTTGTTTTCGTAATCGTTGCAAGCTGTAATCGCGATTAATTGAGCAGCCCTAGTTCAAAGTAGGTTAGGTCAGAGGTAGAGAATAGCTTAGCCTGGCATGGTGCCCACTGCCCAGTATATAAAACGGCACAGCCACCCACTGAGGGGCAGGTGAGAGGTTAAAACATATTTTAACATAAAGAGCTGACCACCAGAGGAAAGTTAACCCAACTTTTAGCGCGTTTTACTGTGTATTGATGATATATAAATAATGACCTGGTGAGATATGCAAGTTAAATTTGTCTTTTCCGGTTATCCCAGGGTTGGTGCTGGAACGTACGAGCAGGTGGTGATAAAGCGTTAAGACCTGCAGCCTCAAAGATGGGGGTTCACACCGATGACATCGAGGTGAGCCTGTGTCGATATCAATCTGCATTCCTACAGCGCGCCTGATCACTGAACGGTTGACATGACAACAGCGCCCTCCTGTGTTCATATGTCTTTTTCAACACTGTAGCTCCCAGAGAAGGTGAACATACAGATATGATATTGAAAAAATAACATGTAACGAAAACTGTCCACGTCTCATTTTCTAGGTGTTTCTAGACTAATCTTTTGAGGTCACACTTTATCAGTGAGCATTCAAACCAAACCCATTTTAAACATTTAGGAACTTGAAGAAGACAAGTTATTGATGTGCATCATGGCACTGAAATTCACACTGAAGAGGAGTATGCAATGCGCTTTCAATACATTCCTTTAGTCTCTCAGTGTTTGTTTTAGGCTTCCTTTTCAAGTGTTCTTTTTAATATTCACCTATACGCTGCTTAAACGTTGTAGTTGTTGGCACTCTGATAACAGTTTTGGATGTCGAGAATATTTTCCTACAAAGAAGAGGCATCAGCTATTTGACGAGTGAACGTGGACTGTGTGTGTGTGTGAATGTGTTTGCTATGTGGCACATTTTATAATTAGCAGTAACACAATCTCTTGTAAGAATTGCTGTATTGGTACTTTCAAAGAGAAATTGGGAGAACATAAGAATTTGCTGACTTACTATTTGTTTGCTGAGCACTATTTTGGTAAATCCTGCAGAAATAATCTGCCCTACAAAGGCAAGCGCAGAATCAATACATTTGTTCATAACTTGGGTTTTTAGGACAATAACTGACATCTAAGTAATTCAGTTTCTTGATCTCTCTCTCTCTCAGCAGATCTTAATTACCTCCATCTTTGCCTTTGACTTATATTTAGGTGCGTTGGTGTTACTAAGCTACCTTAAAATCACATATATAAATGATTTCACTATCTGTTTTCATTTTTGCCCTTTTTTGTATTATCTTAATCCTATGGCAACTCATTTTATTGGTAATATAATCCGCCTTAATTGTTCAAATGAAGGTATTACAACTTTGTTGTCTGTTAAGCAGTTTGCCTTTCTTCTGAAGTGACAGCTGTCTGCCTTTGTAGGGCTGTAAATAGAGAGCATAAAAAGGGGCTTTATGATAAGAAACGACTATAAAAAGGGCATATATCTAATGCCCAGCTTTTCTGCTATGTGTCTCATGTATAACTGCTTAGCGAGGTTAACTACATCTTTCTGAGCTGGCCTGTTGACCAGGAAGCTACCATCTGTGAACAAATGGAAGATCCTGTGACGTACTAACAATTCAACCTGTGTAACTGACGCATATCGTAATTTGTATCACTCAAGGATTGTACAGAGAAAGATTGTAAAGTGAAGGACTAGTTCAGTAATCCACTGCCATGAAGAAAATACTCAACTGCACCTGTTTTTAGATTAAAAAAATGTGTATCTTTACCTCAGAACATCTGAACTGTAAAATCTAACAGTCTGATTAACCGACGCAATCAATACATAAACGATTAGTGCTAAAATATCATCAAACAATATAAATCTACTGAAAATGTCATCCAGCCTAATAGGAGATTAGGTGCACAATGTATTCAGTTCATAAGCAAATTAGCCAAAGTACACAACACACTGTTATTATCTTGACAGCCCTATGCATAATGAGAATATTAGCCGCTTTATAACTAGTGATAACAGACCGTACAGTATCTGTAATCTTCTGTCTCCCGTCATAAGCCATAGTAGAGGTAGGATACCTCCTCTTCTAGATAAACTATACTTGTTATATCAATATCCGCACAAGCTTCATCAGTGTATGGTGTTTTAACTATACGTCAGTGTTCTGTTTTTACGTTGGTGTGTTCTGCATGATTAAGACGTCCTTTTTTTTGGCTTGCAGAACTTGACACATATTCATGTATGTCCTAATTTGATGTCGTGCCATCTTTTAATCTGAATATTGAACACATTGAAGGAACCATTTTGCTTGCCTATTCAGCATGTAGGGAAACATTTTGTCGTCATGTTAACGGCAGATATCTGCACCGTGTATGATGTAACTGTAAATCCATGTTTTCATTTTGTGTTTTTCATTGTTGGTATGGTGTAAATGTCCCATGTTGAAATCTCATCTATAAAAGAAAACTTTTTCTTTTTTTATCATAAATTGCTGATATTGTGCCATATTTTTGCTAAATATTGTATCGTTTGGAAAAGAAATATTCTCACTACACAAGACAGTGTTAAGTTTATGAATTATGGTAACCAAATATCAACTATTGGAAGTTTCTTTTCTTTTTTTAGATCAAATATATTGAGTTGTACCTGTGATCATCAGGTGTGATTATCTTGGTACCGAACATGTTGTTACAGACATGGTTTCTTCTTCTCTTCTGTGAAGCTGTTGTCTATATAAAACTGTTAAGTGTATTCTCCTGTGAAGTGGTGTTCTGCGCTGTTATGACACTGTCCAGTGTTTCCTGTTACAGACTTGTGCTTTTGACCAACATTTGCTTCCTATACGAGTATACTGGATGCTTCAAATGTGTACATGGCACTGTTGAATAAAACTGTTAAAAACCTTGACCTCTTTTAGATTGCACTTCAACTTGGGTATAATGTAAAACAATTACACTGACCTTTTTCTTCTCACTTTTTATTTTACAATTTACATTTGAGCCTTCAGCTTATTCCTATTCTAAAGGCCTGTTATGTGAATACACTTAGACTGTCCAGTAGTAACCAAGGTAAACTATTGATGACTCAAGAAGTCACCTACTCCAAGATCAAACATTTGCCTCCCAGTCTTCCTCTGGTTCAGCGAGGGGGGGGCACTGGCGGGCATCTGCATATCCGCTGTCCTCCAAATCAGCACGATGCTCATCATCATCACTCTCATCATCATCAAGGTCTGAAACACACAAATGAAGTAACATTTTCACAACCAGAACAACCTTGAGTTCTGAAATTCATAGAATAAGCAGCAGCGCAGGAAATACACAATACAATTCTGCTCATGATGCCTTTTGTTTGGAAGTGTAATGAGCTAAGTTGTAAGATTAGTGATTGGGCAAACTACTTAATTAACAAAGATGCTTTAACTCCTGCAGTCCAGTTCATTTGGGTCTGGGTCAAGTGGAAACAAATATACATTTTATTATTACTGGTCCAGTTGATGTTCACAGTGACTTTTTTATGACATATTATACTCTACTATAGATTTTTTAATAACATGGTGGTCAAGTTCCCTCCTAGGTGTAAATATTTATGTTTTACACACACTATAACGGACACAAGTGTTGGTAACATGACCTTGTTCCTGGTGATTCAGGAGCATAGCAGAGCCGTCCTGGCTCAGTTTAACTCCGGGTTCATCCATCAGGAGGAGTCTGAGATTACTGACACTTCCACTCAGAACGCTGACTTTGGGGCAGCAGCACCAGAGCACAGCCAGAGGGACAGACACACACCTGCCAGCACACACAAAGGGGGACGTTATCGGTGATAAGGTGATGCCAGATTTTTGGAAATATTTCTCAACTGGAATATCAAGAATGAAATTTGTGCTAGATTTCTTTTACTTTCAAAACTCCCATTGAGGTTTTCGAATGAAGCTTTGTCTGTCGTCGTATTCTATCAAAAGCTTTTTTAAATCAAATCAACTTTTCTTAGACCAATCAGTTTGCTGCAATTGCTGCTAGACTGGAAACTAATTCTAAAAAAAGTTTTAAATGGTTATTCATTTGGTGTAGCTTAATATGTTTCTGCAGCTCGGCAGTCATACTGGGTTAAAATAAAAAATTATAGACATTTGAAAAAGAAAAAAAGAATTCTAATTCAATGTTCTGAACAAAACCTATACTGTACAATACAGCTCAAATAGAAATGTACACAAGTATTGATATTTTAGAATATAGGAGTTTGAAAGACTACAGCAGTTTACTGGGGCACATTGATACTTTTTAATTGTTTGTAACATGGATAAACATGTAATGTATGAAACAACTGTATATCAGAAATGGCAGCATCTTCACGGCTAGCCAAAAGTAGAGAGGACCCATGAACAAGGCCTGTGTTCATGATCTGCATTCCAGAAACGGCCTTATAACTCATCTTCATCTTGCTTTAGGAAACTCACCTGCGCCATTTGTCAGAATCCGGTTGGCCGCGTCTCCAAAACAGCTCTCCATCCTCCTCTTCCTGATCCACCAGGGTTTTCATCTCTGCTCCACATGCTGCTGTGAAATATGTTTTTTAAGAAAATGATTACGTTTGTGTGTGACTAAGTGTTTATCTGTTAAGGAATATTGTAACTTAAGCCGCTAGGCAGTACTATACACAATGATATCCAGCAGAAATCTTTTAATTAGAGAAAACACACACAAGGGTTTGACAAAAATAACCTCAATGCCCGTTTCCCATTTAGGATTTTCAAACCGAATTTGTATACAACCTTTTAAGGACTGGTGTTCACCTGTCTGTGCCTCTTCAGTGTCCACGTGTCTCTCCGATGCTCTGAAGCATTCCCCCCCTTCACCCTCAGCCTGGCACAGATCATCTGTGTCATCCCTCTCACCAGTCTCCTCTGCGGTCCATCTTCTCTTCAGCTTATCCGCCCAGTAAACTACCTCACACATCAGGACCCTCCGCAAGATGTTGTTGTCATGCAGGCTGGGGTAGATTATACTATACAGCTGAAAAATAAACATCTATTTTACTCAAATATAATAAGATAAATAATACAAATTCAAGGAGAAGTATGTGTGCCTCAGGCTTATATGCAGTTTAGGTTAGTTATAAGAGAAGGGTCATTGAAAAGACGTTTTCATCAGTACTTCAATCTACATTGATCTAATAATGAGCTAACAGCCTAAAGGGGTTCTGTAAACAACCACTGACAACCAGAAAGCTTTTGTAAGTTGAATACATTATAATAAATTACAACAACCAAGCGAGAAAAAGAGAAAAAATATGTTATACTTTTGTTGCCTTTACTTTGTAATGGAAATAATGGGCAGCCAGAAATATGCAGGGAGGGAAAGAGGGGGATAAAGTCACCATTATTCAGTTAGACAGCAACAGGTTGTTTCTTTGAAGACTGGATCTCTGCCTCAAAAATGACTGGTGTTGTGGTCTATAAAGACGTTTACTCACTAGAGTGTATGAAAACACATCCTCAGCATCTTCATCAAACATGTTGTAACGCTCTTTGCCCCCGAGACGGTGAAACACACCGATCTGGGAGCAGAAGCCGACGCGCTCCTGCTGACCTGGAGGTGCCTGTCCAACACCAGTTAACTCCACCTCATAACCGTACTGCAAACACACCTTCATAGCCCTAAGGAGGGTGGTAATGTTGACAAAATACAGTTAGATTCTTCTTTCCTTCATTAGGGGATATATATATATATATATATATAGCAGTGGCGAACCGTCAGGGCCTTCAAGGTATTTTTATCCAGATCCTCCATGTTTCTGATGACCAGTATTCAGAGAACACCCTGGAACACTCAGATAAAACAAACAAAAAATCGATTTAATTATATAAATAAAATGTATATAAAATGAATAAATGAGAATGGTATCTGTGTTGTTGATCTGTAATATTACAGTGTTACGTTGATTTGTTTGTCCTTCTCGGTCCATGCACTACGCATTTCAGTGGTTTTGTGTTAGAAAATAAAGCAACCAATCAGATCTTGTTCTGGGTCTCTGGGTAGAATATCCTTCAACCAAGGTATTCTACATCCTTGATCGAATGCCCTAGCCGTTGCACTGAATGTGAGCGTACGTTTGGATTGACAGTTTGATCAACCAATCATATATTGATTTCTAGCCAATGGGCGTATTCTTTCAGAGTTTCCCTCGGTTCCAGGGTACTCTAGAAGGCCCGGTAATTCACTGGCTCGAGAGAGACAGAGGATTCTAGATTAATGCGACGAAGCAATTCATGCCGTTTAATTGTTTTTAACGTTGAAATGGCAAGTGCCACAGGTGAAGATGAAGTAGTTGCGGAATTGTTGCGAGTACCCTTTTCAAGACGAAAATTCAGTGAAAAGACGGACATTATAACGGCGGGGGGTGTGTGTGTCTACAGAAGGTCCAGTTGTGATAGACACGGTTCGCCACTGGTATATAGAATAAGGTAGCCATGTAGGTTTTCTCTTAGAAATAATTGGCCTTGGTGAATACAATAATCATAAGAGGAAATAGAAAATGCAGGCAAAGTAATGCAAAAGTCAAAAACATACATTCATAACATAAAAATATCAATACAATCTGAAAAAAGATACTATAAAAACCACAATACCAAATATCTATCTCCAGTGCTGATGTATTTTAGAGTAAATGTATCCATTTACATTCCCTGTCACTACCATCCTCATCAACACGATCAATGTAGTGCTGTTCGCTACACTCTAAGTCTGAAAATGAGAAACCTGCCTACCAGGACTTGAACTCTGTTCTGGTCCACTCAAACTTGTGGTCAATGTGCCTGAAACCCACAAGTCCAGGGAGAAAGGGGTTGAAGTCAGAGTTTGGGGTACTGACGATAACCGCCTCAGGGGTCAAGTAACCAAACACCACCTCAGAGAAAAGCTCCACATCAGCAAGAGTGAGATGCTCAATGCTGCAGACAGACAGGGAGGAAACATGGGGTTCAGATCATGGGTCGAATGACTGATAGATAAAAACACCTCAACGATAGATGGTTAGGTGAACATAGTGAGGAAAAAGACAACACCATATAGGTAAATTACAAACCAAAATTACTAATATAAATACTAACAGGTGCTAAAGAAGGAACCTTGAAGACATTGAACTGCAACAACCACACACTCCCTTACAGCTCTATACTGGTCACCAGATCAAATCCTCTGAGGCGTGCGTCTTTCTCAGTGACGGAGCCCTGGTACAGCTCGATGCGCAGCTGATCATAACTTGGCTGCAGATAGTCAGTTGATATAGGAGCTAATCCATGCCTGAAGGACATACAAGCAAGGTGCATACATTATAAATCCACAGTATAACTGATCACAACAACAACAATAAAGTGAAATGCATGGTGGTGGAAAGGCGCATTGCAGTGACCATCAATTTCATTATTTGAGATGCATTTACATACATCTTGGGTTGCAAATAACTGTATTTAGTGTTATAATCGTCAAATTGTTTGATCATTTTAAACTTTACAATGTCAAGAGGAAAGTGAAAAATGGCCATCACATTTTCTATAGGTTGGACAATTCATATCAGATTTAAAAGTATTCACATCTAAAAACCTACATCCAGCCAATATATTTACATTTTTCTGCAGATAAACTTGACCAATAATTGTTTTCACCTCTGCATAAATCTGCCATATCGTAACATACAATAAAAGCTCTCCCCAGATCTTTAACTCATGCATTTTGATTTTCTAAACATACGTAGCCTACATCTTTTTTTTTACTTGGACACCATCGATGTCCAGTCCAACCAGCAGTTCAATTTCACGGTGAAACTTCAGCTGTTTCAGAAGAACGCACTCACAGCAGCCCAAGTCCAACACCTGTGGTGGAGCAGGGAGAAACAATATGTTTGTGACTAAGTATAAGCTGGTCCGTAGAAGTCACATAACTAATGTTAATTTTATAACATAAAACAAAACTCAGTTTAGCCGAATGCTAATAAAAATTTTGAATTAGCTATGTTGTGCGAATAAAGCTAAGGTTAGCTCACGTGCGGTGCATGCAGAAATGAGCTACGGCGATATCGTTAGAAAACGTTGCTTAACAAATGTTAGCTTAGTGGATAAAGTGTGTTTCTCACTTACTTACCTTTTTGGGTTTCTTCCTCTTGACAAAATCGATGACAAACTGATGTCTCTGTCTGTGCAGCGCCGGAGTGAACATTGGCTCCATCTTCGACTTCAAGTTGTAATTAAGCTAACCACAGGCAGCCCCGCCGTCCACAAGAGGGCGCTGTTATTGAGTCTGTGGTCTTTCCCAACCAATAATACATTATGTTTTTCCTGTGTAAAATGCTACTTGGAAGCAGGATTTTTATAAATTGTATCAGCTGGCCTTCAGTAGAGGTAACCTTGGTTAATATTCTATTTCCATGTATATTACTGCTTTATTTTTATTTTTATTGCTTTAACCCTTTCATGCATAGAGGTCACTACAGTGGACAGCTATTCAAAAGGTGTTTTCTTGTATACGCATTGTTTTTTTTTGCATAGTTGCACCATCAGCCACTACATAGGACCCTATTGCATCATCCCATACACTGCCCCTCAGTGGAAAGTCAGTGTCAGTGCATGATACATCTCTCTAAACCAAGATGGACAACAGAAAGCCACATGGACCAAGTCACCCATCTATATCTTGCCAATCCTTTAATGGAAAGCGTCCCCTGCAGGTATACAAAATGTGGTGACATCAAGTAACAACTAAGGAATCATATAATTCATAAATTATCAAAGTATTGATTTTATGTTTGCAGGAAATCATGATTAACCACCTGTCCACTACAGTGGACGTCATGCATCACTGGCTATATTTCAACTACAATGAATACTGGTACTGCTGCTGCTGTACCCAGGGCCGTCCCTCCCTACAGGCAGATCATGCAGAC